CCAGAAATATGATAAAAGGCATAGAGGATGCCGGACTTCCGAGTATTTCATGTGTGGCCCATACGCTGCAGCTGGCTGTCTCGGAGGGTCTGTTATCACAACGCAGTGTTGCAGGTGCAGTGGGAGTTGGGCGCAGAATAGTCGGCCATTTTAAACATTCAAACCTGGCATACTCTTGGCTACAGGATATTCAGGTCCAGCTTGGTCAACCAGTTAAGAGACTCCAACAAGATGTACAGACTAGCTGGAATAGCACGTTTTATATGCTGCAGTCTCTGATTGAGCAGAAGCGGGCCATTGAAGTATATGAGTCTGAACATAAGCTCCCTGTCACCATGACTGCAAACATGTGGAATCTCATGGAGAAGATGCTGAACATCTTGGCTCCGTTTGAAGAATTGACTCGCCAAGTGAGTTCTTCAGATGCTTTGGCCTCGGATGTAATTCCTGCAGTCACCGTGCTACAGAGAATGTTATCAAAAGCAGTAGATGAAGACCACGATATTCGAACCATGAAGAGCACGTTGCTTGCTGCTTTCCAGAAGCGATTCTCTGACACAGAGCAAAACCCACTTTACTACATCGCTACTTTACTTGATCCAAGGTAATTATTCATTTCTGCTGTTACATTCATAAAATAAGCTTTTATTTAGTCCTAAGTAAATAAAAAAAATTATTATAAAATTAATTTTTCAAATTTGAGAGACTGCAATCAACCATTTCTTTTGGTTGTTTTATTTTGTTAATGTCTTTTTACTTCATTTCTCTCCCTTTTGTCATTGTTTTTAATTTCAAAGTGCTCACATTTTTTTATTAATGCACAGACAGGCAAGTACACTGCTTGCTTATTCATCATTATTTTGTTTTTCCCTCTTCTAGGTATAAAGATCGATTCTTCTCACATGCAAACACTGCCAGGAAAGCCAAAGAAATAGTCCTACTGGAACTGCAAAACATTTTTGAAGAGGCAGCCACAGCCGAGGTGCTTGAGGAACCAGCTGTCAAAAGGCCTCACAGTGAACAGCCGGGTACCAGTCTGGACAGTGTTTTTCAAGAAATTGCTTTTGAATCCACATCTGAGAGCCATGCTCCCACAGCTGTTACCATACAGCTAGAAGCATATCTCGGAGAGGTCACTGTGCCTCGTTTGGACAAACCCCTTAAGTATTGGGCAGTCAATAAACTACGATTTCCCGCTCTGGCCCAAATGGCACAAAAATATCTTTCAGCTCCTTGCAGCAGTGTGGAAAGTGAAAGATTGTTCAGCACAGTGTCACACATTCTGACTGACAGCAGAAACCAGCTTCTAACTGAACATGCAGAGATTCTCCTGTTTCTTAAAAAGAACCTGCCACTTACATTTGAAAAGTAATGAAAATTGATGGACTGCCTGTTACTGTACAACTGTTACTGTTAACATCTTTGGCTTATAATTGTAGGAGTGTTCATAGGAAGAAAAAAAAAGTGAATTCCTACGAACCCCTCCTCCAATTATAGGGCTAGATTATCTTTGGTTACATTAAAAACATGTTCTGTGAAATTTGCTTGAGTTTTCACAACATTGTGAAAAGCAAATAAATATATATATGTTTTTTTTACAATGTCTTTTTACAGTTCTTTATAATTATAAAGAGACTGCCCAAAAATCATTAGTCTGTATTTAACATTTTTTTTCTAAAACAATACTATGCCACTTTTAAAAACAAGTATCAGTAATTGGTATCGGCAAGTACCTGGGGGAAAGTACTTGTGATTGGTCTTGAAAGAATGGTATCTGTGCATCCATAATTTTAAAGCATGTACAACATATCCTGTTTTTTGTAAAAACTGTTCCTGAAGCCTTATTGACTTGTGTGTTTAACATTTTCATAAAATATGCTTGGTTATCCATCAGATTTGTTTCCCCAGCCTTTTGGACTTGTGTTGATGGGCAAACGCTACATGCTTTTAGGTGCATTCAGCCTGGGTTGCAAACAAAAGCCCGTACACACAAGCCCGTTCTTTGTTAACAAGCAGCACCCACTTGCAACATGTCGTCATCTAATGTTATGCTGCCTGATCAAATTACTGTTTGGTTCAAGTTAAGTAAAATATAGGGATTCTGTTTAAAGATGAAATCTAGGCATATATAAAATACACAGTTTATTGCAGCTCTTTAAAGGAGAACTATGATGTGAATGATTTTCAACCACCCTCATAGTTCGAGTCGACGTGTGACAATGAAACTGTCACACGTCGGCTCTATAGATCGGGAAGTGAGCGAATGCATACCGTTGCTCGCTCACTTTCCGATCATCTTCCTGCAGAGAGGAGGAATCTACAGGGTTGACAAATTATGGAATTCCGGAGCTTGTCTGTCCAATCCATGAGCCAGAAGGATTTTTCAGGAGCCAGATCCACTGGCAACAACGAGGGAAAACATTGTTAGGCACCAGCTATTATTTTTAAGGAGCATTAACTACCAGGCTCCTGGGATTTGTCCAGACCTGACTTACTTGCACCTCCTTCTTGGACTCTTAACATGAAATAAATTTTAAAATAGAATTAAAGTCTTTCCTTTTTTGGCATATATCTACTGCTAGGCAAGCAATAGAAATATGCCCCATGATTTAAAAAAAATAAAAATGGGGCAAATACCTAATTACTTACCTGTTCCAGCGCCGCCCGCTCTAGGCTGAAGAACTCCCAGGTCACAAATGGCTGTGAAGGACGAAGTGTGCAGACGCATGCGCAGTAGAGCGGAGGGAGAGAAAACATAATGACAGTGAATGGACGCAGTCGGGAGCACGCACGCCAGACAGACACCGTGGGACATGAGGAGTCTGCGGTGGCTGAGAGACCAGCACCAGCGGGGGAGGAACTGTTGGAAATGAGTGGAATGAAAATGATTGTATCAAGGCAAGTGCTTACAGCAGCATTAGGGGGGGAGGAGAGCTTAATGTCACTTTAAACTATTAACCAGGTGGTTATAATATGCCTCTATGGATGCATTCCTTTTATTTTTATAATTGTTTCTGTGCACTAAATTTCATTTTCGTATATTTTCTCCTAAAAATACTGGTTTGATAAACATTTATGCAAATACAGTGCGACATAAAAAATTGCAACTAGAATTTTTTTTATTCTACAAGGCCTCT